TTACAGGCGATTGGAAGCTGATGCATGGAAGCCAACCACAATTCGAAGGTCATTCATTTGATGGTTTGTGTGAGATCGTCACAACGCTTGTGGCGTGGCTGCGTAGCAAAGCCTCCAATTTCAGCATCTCCTCTTGCTCGTATAAAAGAACAACTTGGGAACACTTTGGGGTCATTGGTAGTTTTGGGTTCGTTTTTGGTACCTGAAATTGATGTGATTTTTGGGGACGGAGTTGGGGCCTCCCTTGTTCGAGGCCCTTATTGCCAACCGGTGTTGGTTTGATGCGTTTCTACATTGGAACAGCGCAGCTGAAAGAAGGTGCTTGGATGGGTTTAAAACCGGACCTCCAAGGAGGCACCGGATTCAATCTGTTGAGGGTCCAGTTTTGGACCCCCGTGCAAAGGAAACGTGTTTAAAAAGGGGTCAGAAAGTGGACCCCCTTGAAATCAAAAGTGGTTCCCCCTGGAGGGTCCAGTTTTGGCCCCTTCATTGTGGCAAATCTTTTGAAGCGTTTATTTCAAGTTGATGCTGATTTGACCAGCAACAGCTGCGAGTGGAAGCTTGAACTGGGGAGGCTCATTTTTGCGCGCCTGCTTTTTCTTACGTTTTGAGGACCAAAAAAGGGTCCCTTCTTTGTCATATTGTTTTGCTTCAATTTTCATAGGCTTGAGGCTCTCGAGGCCTGCCTTGAAGCCTGCCTTGAAGCCTGCCTCGAAGCTTGCTCTGAGGTGCTTTGTTCTAATTTTCATGGTCTCGCGACACTGGAGTTCGAGACTTGCATTGAGGCCTGCCTTCAACTTTGTTTCATCTTATAAACTTTTTGTTTTGCTGCAATTTCCATCAACTTGAAGCTTCGAGGCTTGCCTTGAGGCCGTCCCTCTGCGCCAGCTGCGGCCTAAAATTCTAGCAAGGCAGCACAGTTGCCAACTACTTCAAGTTCAACCTTGCTGGGACTTCAACAATAGTATTATATAGTTTCGAGTCCCTGTAAGCCTCGCTTTGTCCTTGTGCCAATACGTTTTGCGTCCGAGGCGTGGCCTCGGCCAGGCCTCGCCGAGCCTCGAAGCGCCTCGATTGCAGGCTTTGGAAACACAGGACCTCTTTCAGCAACAGAACAGAAAGGGAAAGATTGTTATGACCAAAACAAGCAGGCACAAGGGGCTAGTTTTGGGTTCGTTTTTGGTACCTGAAATTGATGTGATTTTTGGGGACGGAGTTGGGGCCTCCCTTGTACAATCAACCGTCGATGCGTTTCAGAGTCATGCAAACAAACATTTTCCAGGGCACCGATCTTTGGCATGTCAAAACTTCTGTCAAGAAAAAATGCTACTCACATTGCGGATCCAAAATACACGTAAAATATAAAAGTTGAGGTCAAAGTAAACTTGAGTCCAAATGGAAAACAAAAGTCCAATTGGGCTTTGAACTTTTGGACTTTGTCTTGGGCTTAGGACTTTTGATTGGACTTTGCTTTGGTCTTTGATCTTTTCATTGGACTCTTCCTGGTCTTGGGGCTTTTCATTGGACTTGCCTTGGTCTTTTGGACTTTTTCATTGGACTTACTTTGAGCTTGTCACAGCTAGCTTTGTATTGGCATTTGCCTTCATCTTGGCGGTGTTGTTTTTCGCCTCAAACCTGTTTGGTTCCTGGTCTTGGGCGATTCATCTTCATTGAGCCAGTCCAGTCCAAGAGTCCAAGACTTACAAGTGACGCATGTGGACAGCGCAAGGAGCATATTGACCGCGCAACGTCTGCAAGGGCATGGATTGAATATTTGACTTTAATCACATAGATGCCACGTTACAACTTGCTCTCAGACACAACCGTGCGCAAACACAGCCAAACCAAAGGCCAGCCAGCTGCAAAGCAGCCCAGCCAATCTGAAGCGGCCAGCTTACCAAACAGCTCAAATCTCTGAGCGTGGGCCTGGGACTTTGCCACCTCCTCACTGTCAGCCGACTTAATGATTTGGTGACTGGGGCCGGTAGGTCAGTTGCGCAGCTTGAAGGAATAGAGTTGTGCTGCCTATCTATTCAGGGAGGTGCCCGGCGTGCAGCTCGCAGCTAAAGCAGACTGACCACGCAGCCGCACGACCCGCGTGACCCAAGGGTGAAGTGTTAGTGAGTATACTGCCTGGCCTGCTTACTGCTTCACCGACCGGGGTTTTGCATCTGCTAGAGTTGGAAGGGTCCGGGCCCGTCACTCACTTGTGCTACAGTGGAGGGGGCCACTATCCAATCACAACACATATGTGTATATTGTAAACCCGTAAGATGGGGGAATCATGCAGATGTTCAATCAACAGGAGCAGCCCCCGTAAGGGATTCAGATGTCCAACAGAAGAAGCCCCCGTAAGATGGGGGATCCAGATGTCCAACAGGAGCCACCCCCGTAAGATGCGGTGGAAGTATAACCGCAATTTGAATAGTTTTATGTCTCACTTTGTCTGCTTAGCCATTGATGATTTACACAATTAGTTTCTTTTTTGCATGTTTTTGTGACACGGTGGGACACTCCCGCTGTGTCTTGTGGCAAATCAGGTGCGTGTTTGGTTTTGTGTTGGGCCCTGGCCCCTTTTCCTTTGTTGTTTCGCTGTTGCTTTCTGTGGCGAAACGCAAATCTGGCTGGGGGATTTGCGGGTCGTCTGTCTTTTTTCGCCGGTTTCTTTTTCTGGTGACATGTTGATTTGCCCTCGTATAGTATGGATGGAACCACTGCGTTTCATGCGGAGTTTTTAATTAGTTTGACCTGTTTATACCAATTTCAGGACGGAGCCTTAGAGCGACATCGGCCAAATCAGAGGAAAAAAAAGGAGCCACCCCCATAAGATGGGGGAATGTCAGGTCTCCCCGTCAGATGGGGAAAAAGGTTTCAACAATTTTGGAAACGATTTATTTCATTTGTACCGCCCCCTTAAGATGGGGGACTCAAGAAACGGTTGAAACCATTTTGTTAAGAAGTTTGGGATCATTACTTCATGTGGAGCCATCCACCTCAAGAAATTGGCCCACCCATTCGCTTCGCTTTCCCACCCTTTAAGTTGTATAATCTGCCCGGGGTGGTAAGTTTCCTACATCACCATTGGGGAAGTATGAGTTCCTCTTACGCTGTCTTGTGATGTGTAAGTTGATCCGAAAGTTGAATCGGGCCGGAACTACACAACCTTGGGCCTTCAAAATCCCTGGAGGAAAATGAAAGTGTCCACGAGCATTGCAATTTTCAATTTGCCCAGCTTTGCATTTGTGAGTTTCGAAGGTTTAACAGTCCATACGTAAGTAGGATCCAAACCGACTCTTTCACCTTTCCCGATAGAGCTAAAGCGTAGTTGGGCGAAAGCCCAACAAGCTTTTGCGTAAGAGGGAAAATCGGGTGAGGGGGTTGGGTTCCTGATCCATGTGGATGGTTAGTCTCAGGAAGTGGAGTAGCGGTTCCCTATAATGAATGTAAGCAACGGTTGTGGCTGGTAGATCCTACCCTTTTCATTCCTAGCTCCACCCCACCCCCCAAGGTTGAAGTGGGTTGGTAAGTCTCAGGAAGTGGAGTAGCGGTTGTGTTTCCCTATAATGAAGGTAAGCAACGGTTGTGGCTGGTAGTTCCTACCCTTTTCTTCCCCAGCCCCACCCCACCCCCCAAGGTTGAAGTGGGATGGTTAGTCTCAGGAAGTGGAGTAGCGGTTCCCTATAATGAAGGTAAGCAACGGTTGTGGCTGGTAGATTTTTTTTTTCGCTTTTAGCATTTTTAACCCTCAAGGTTGAAGTGGGATGGTTAGTCTCAGGAAGTGGAGAAGCGGTTCCCTATAATGAGTGTAAGCAACGTTTGTGGCTGGTAGGTCCGGTAGGTCCTACCCTTTTCTTCCCTAGCCCCACCGCACCCGCCAAGGTTGAAGTGGGTTGGTAAGTTTCAGGAAATGGAGTAGCGGTTCCTATAATGAAGGTAAGCAACGGTTGTGGCTGGTAGATCCTACCCTTTTCTTCCCTAGCCCCACCCCACCCCCCAAGGTTGAAGTGGATTGGTAAGTCTCAGGAAGTGGAGTAGCGCTTCCCTATAATGAAGGTAAGCAACGGTTGTGGCTGGTAGATCCTACCCTTTTCTTTCCTAGCCCCACCCCACCCCCCAAGGTTGAAGTGGGATGGTTAGTCTCACGAAGTGGAGTAGCGGTTTCCTATAATGAAGGTAAGCAACGGTTGTGGCTGGTAGATTTTACCCTTTTCGTCCCTAGCCCACCCCACCCCCCAAGGTTGAAGTGGGATGGTAAGTCGCAAGAAGTGGAGTAGCGGTGGTGTTTCCCTATAATGAGTGTAAGCAACGTTTGTGGCTGGTAGGTCCTACCCTTTTCTTCCCTAGCCCCACCGCACCCGCCAAGGTTGAAGTGGGATGGTAAGTCTCAGGAAGTGGAGAAGCGGTTCCCTATAATGAATGTAAGCAACGGTTGTGGTTGGTAGATCCTACCCTTTTCTTCCCTAGCCTCACCCCACCCCGAAGGTTGAAGTGGGTTGGTCAGTCTCAGGAAGTGGAGTAGCGGTTGTGTTTCCCTATAATGAAGGTAAGCAACGGTTGTGGCTGGTAGTTCCTACCCTTTTCTTCCCTAGCCCCACCCCACCCCCCAAGGTTGAAGCCTACAATGAAGGTAAGCGACGGTTGTGGCTGGTAGATCTTACCCTTTTCTTCCCTACCCCACCGCATCCCCCAAGGTTGAAGTGGGTTGGTTAGTCTCAGGAAGTGGAGTAGCGGTTCCCTATAATGAAGGTGAATGGATTTGACCTAATCCACATCCCATATATATCAGTGTAAACAGTTGCATGCATTGGCATTTCACTTGAACTTGTGACTTCAACACGTTGTCATTTGCAGTTGCCATGACATGCATGTACAGGTGAATCTTACATATATCCACAGGCGTTTTGCTTTCAAGGAAAAGAATCATGGTAGCGGAGCCCTAGCCAATGTGGAGGGCATCCGATCTAGGACCTAGGTTGTTAGGTAGCTTCTGTCTTTAGGACATGGCTTCACTGACTCCTCAAGAAATTTCCAAACTGGTTCAAGCAGCAAGTGATGCAGCTCAGGCCGCTAGCAGTGCAGCCCAAGCTCTACGAGATCAACAGCAGTCCAGGTCAAGCGCTTCGAATTTTCATGAGGCATCAAAGGTTGTTAGACAGCCTGATCCCTTTGGCTCAGAGGTCCATGACACAGACTTGAACAACTGGCAGGATTTTAGCACAAATTTTCGAGCATGGTTGTTCTACGCCAACCCCAGCTTTGAGTTAGATTTGCACAGGATTGAAGTCACCCATGCTGACCAGCCCATTGTGAACGTTACAGGTGAACCTGCTGAGACTCAGGATCGTTGCAGTCAACTGTACAGCGTTCTTATTGGATTGTTGCGTGGGAAGCCACTTAGAATGCTGAGGCAAATTGAAGGCAGAAATGGATTTGAAGTTTGGCGTCAGCTTGTGCAGTTGTTTCAGCCAAAGACCAAGTCTCGAGCCATCTCTACACTTAGCGCTTTGATGAACATCCCTGGATTCACTCAGAAAGACCGCACTCTGCTTGACCAAATTCTTGGATTGGAGAGACTGCACACTGAGTATGTCAGAGCAAGTGGATCAGACATTGCCGACGACATCATGCTTTCTGTTTTGGTGCGTGCTTTGCCAAAGGCCATTCAGCAGCACATTCAGTTGCAGATGAACGAGAACTCCACGTATGCTCAAGTGCGTGTTTCCTCAAGTGTTTCCACCTCAAATTATGGTGGTGTAGCCCCAATGGAAGTTGATCGTTTTGAGAAAGGGAAATCCAAAGGAAAACAGAAGGGAAAATCAAAGAGTAAGGACCCACAAAAGGGTAAAGGGAAGTCAAAGAGCGACAAGGGCAAAGGCAAGGGTGGGAAACCATCTCAGCGCAGTGCCACTTCAAGTGACCAATGTCTTCATTGCGGAAAGTTTGGACATTTCAAACGTGATTGCTGGAAGCTTCATGGCAAACCTGATGGGAAGAGCGTGAACCAAGTTTCTGGTGGTGATCAGCAAGCTTCTCCACCTGCTGCTAGTTCTTCTGGTGCCAGCACTGTTTCTAGCATGCCGCCTTCGGCTTCTTTGCGTTTGGTGACCTGCCCTGAGCCCTTGATTGAAGAGCTTTCTTCAGATGCTTCTGAGACCGAGCTTCATGATTTGACAGTAATTGATAGCTATGGTGGTTTCTGCAAATTGGTTTCACAGCACGATGCATTGGACTCCACTGACCTTTCAGCTTCATGCGTATTTACAGAGCGTTGTGAACATTTTGACATTGCATATTCAGACTTTGATGATGACTGGACTTATTATGATGAACAATATATGTTGTCTGAAGAGTTGCATGACGATGTTTACAATTTTTACTGTATTAGAGCGTTTGGTTTTTCAGAACCCAAAAGCGTGGAGGTGGTATTGGACTCAGGGGCCGACGGCTCAGTCCTCCCCTTGGAGTATGCCAATGTTGGATGTGTTGACAAAAGTTTTGATGGTTCATCATACATAGATGCACAAGGGAAACCAATTTCAGTCAATGGTGCAAGGATTGCAGAAGTACGTTTTGGCCCTGTTGTTTTTCGTGAGCGTTTCATTATAGCAGCTGTCACTTCTCCTTTGATTTCAATGGGAAGGTTGTTGATAGATGGATGGCATTTGCAGAATGAGGGTGATGGAACCATGACCCTTGTCAGAAAGCATAGGCACATACCAGTTCACTTCAAGCGCAACTCTTTGTGTGCCACTGGAGTGATACGCATGCTGACAGAGAACGCTGACGTTTCATCATCAACTTCTTCATCTTCTGGCCAGGTGCAGTCTGCAGGACATGTGAGAGCCCTCACTTTGGGCAGAGCTTTGACAGGCATGGGACAAGGTTGGATTCAATTGAGTGAGAATGTTTTTGGTCTTCGAAGTACACAACTTACTGTTGGCACAACTTACTGTCCTAGTAGCGGTTTGCTTTGGTTGCGTACAACTTTGATCAAGGGTGATGATGGTGAATGGGAACTGGAGGAATTTGGACAGAGCATTGCTGAATTACCCACCATGGTTGGACCGTGCAACACTGAGAAGTGCGTGGTGGAATCTATCACCATTGCTCACACCTCCATGGTTCCTCCTGAACATCTTGGTTTTTCAGTATCTGATGACATCATTGCTCCAAGATCTGGAATCCCTGTCAGGCCACTTCAACCAGCTGATGCAGCTGAACCTGCAGAGCAACCCGACGTTGATGTGATACCAGCTGCAGAGGACGCAGAGCCCCCAGTTGAAGCAAGAGAAGATGGCATGGAGCATCATGAAGTTTGGGTTGATGGTGTTAAACTCGACACCAATTCATCTTTGAGGACCTTGAGAGCTGCGTGTGACTCTTTGGGTCTTAGCAAATCTGGAGGCAAGATCAAGTGCTTGAAACGACTTTGGAATCATCTTCAAGCCCAAGAATTGTTAGCCGCACATGCTGCACATCACCAGCTTCAAAGTGAGATAGCAAGACCTGTTTACTCACAACCCGTGCCAGATGAGCCTTCAGCTGAAGAACAAGCAAGGCACAGCCTTACACACCAGCCGTTTGCGCCTTGGTGTGAGCTTTGTGTTGCACACCGTGCTGTTCAAGATCCACACAAAGAGCAAGAGCATTCAACTACTTCACATTCATGTGTCTCTTTCGACTTTGGATATTCTTCCAGACTTGCTGGTGAAGATACTTCATGTGCACTGTACATTCATGACCGAGATACTGGCGCTATGCATGTGATTCCTACTCCTGCCAAAGGAGGTCGTTATCTCAACTACCTTTGCACAGAGTTTTGCAGATTTTTGGTTTGGCTTGGACACACAACAGTTGGTTTGAAATGTGATCAAGAGCCATCAACACTTTCTTTGCTTGAGGCCGTGAAGAAAACGTGCCGTGGACTGGGTATTCAGACTATAACAGAAACTGTGCCACCGGGAAGTCATGCATCCAATGGTGCAGCTGAAGTGACTGTGAAGGTGATCAGACAGCAGGCCAACCTTCTCATCGACCAGTTGGAGAAAGGTTGTGGGCTTGGACAAACAATTGGCTGTCAGCATCCTCTTTACCATTGGGCACTCTTACATAGCTCCTGGTTGCACAATCGTTTTGTTATTAGAAAGGGTTCAACAGCCTATGAACTTTGCGCCAACAAAATGTATACAGGACGTTTGGCACTTTTTGGTGAGAGTGTTTTGGGATTTTTGAAAAGAACTACAAAGGGTTCACCGCAGTGGACACGTGGAATCTGGTTAGGGAAAACTATGAGTAATGACGTACATATCATAGCAGTTTCTGGCAGTACACAGCTTTTTGTGACAAGGAGCGTGAGACGCTTCCCAAAGCCGTGGAATATGGATGGAATAGCAAGTGTGGAAGCTTGTCCATGGAGTTTTGGTTATGCCTCTTTAGGTTCACAGCTCGTTCTGGCCAAGCGTATATCTGCACCACCTATTCTTTCTCTTCCTGAAGTTAAACCAAGGGATTTGGATGCTGAGGCAGTGATGAACGTGCCCCCAACTCCTGTTGAGCAAGAGGATGGTCCTCAACCTACCAGACCAGTTGCTGCAGTTGCTCCACCAGTTTCCAGCGTTTTAGCTCCTGATGTTTTTGCAGGTGAACTTGAGACGCAAATGGAGGTCTCGGCTGGATCCCACTTTCAGTTGGACTGGAAGTGCCAAGTACTCCCATGACACCAGCTCCTTTGCCATTGACAATGCCAAGCAGTTCTGAGCCTAGCAGTGCCTCAGGCCATGCAGGGACCCCACTGCCTGCTTCTGGAGTACATGGACGTGAAGGTGCAAGTGATGTTGATGAGGCCAATAGGCCGACAAAACAGGCACGTATCATGGCAGTCTTCGAGCATGAGGACGACATGCATGCTTTGCATTTTTTCAGGATGGTGATGTTGACACCCTGGAGTTGTATGAGTATGAGATGGAGGAAGAAAGTTGTGAAGGTGCAGCAACTGATGTTGCATCTGACAATGTTCTCAAGCGTTTGAGTGTTCCTCATAGCACTTTTGAGCCTGAACTAGATCCATCCACACTTCTCCAATTGGATCTTTTAGCAGATGAACTTGAAATCAGCCGCCTGAAGGCGATGGGTGTGCTGATCCCAGCTGAGAGCTACGATGTTGCGGGCCAAACACCGAAGAAACTCACTACCAGAATGGTGAGGACATGGAGGGACAAACATTTGGATGGAGGACATGTTTGGCTGCGTAGGTCACGCTACGTTGCCAGAGAATATGCATGGCTTTCACCTGAGAGGCAAGGCTTATTCGCTCCAGCTTCTTCTGTCCTTACAGTTCGACTTCTTCCATGTTTGTTCATGAAATGGAAAATGGATGACTACGTTTTGTGCTCCATAGACATCACTGATGCTTTTCTCATGGTCGATCAGCGTGAACTGACACGGGTGGTTTGTGAGGATGCTGGTGGAAATGTCTCCCACTACATACTTGGCAAGGTGTTGCCAGGACAGCGCAATGGATCACAGATGTGGCATGAAAGTTTCAGCTCCTTCTTGCATGAGGACCTGAAGATCGTGGAATGTGCCGCATACCCTTGTTTGCTGAGAAGTGAGACCGCAGAAAGCCATGGAAGGCCAGCATGCCTACTGCTCCTACATGTTGACGATGTTCTTTGTTTGTGCAAGCGCTCCTACCTTGAGAGCGTGTTACTTCCAGCCCTGAAGGCGCGCTACAAAATCTCTCACGAGATGATGGCTGTCGAGGGTGATGAACTCACATTTTTGAAGCGTCGTCACATGCTGATGAATGACTTTGAGCTTGCAATCCAGAGCCACCCCAAGCACCTTGAGAAACTCTTTGAACTGCTGAAGATTGGCCGAGGTTTGAAACCAAAGAAAACACCAGTGCACCCTATGCTGGATGAGGATGACAAAACCGAGATGTTGGACAACCAGCAGGCCAGCATCTACCGCTCATGCATTTGTATTCTTCTTTATGTGACCAGTGACTTTGTGGAATGTCAATATGCTATTCGAGGCCTTTCTCAGTCAATGTCTAAGCCTACAAAGCAGTCCATGGAATGTTTGAGATATCTCTGCACTTATCTTCTAGGTTGCACAGACCAGTGCCTGATGCTGAAGTACGAGAGCCACCAAGGACTTTTGCATTACAACCCTGAAGACTATACTCTTGAGATATTTAGCGATAGCGACTGGGCGAAACATAGAACAACACGACGTTCAGTGAGTGCAGGATACATTTTCATGTTTGGAAACCTCTTGTATTCTTCTTCAAGGAGCCAGAAAGCTTTAGCTCTATCAAGCTTTGAAGCAGAAGTGTATGCAGGTACGTCAGCTACGAGCGATGCGGTTCTCATGTACCACTGCATATGTTTTTGTGTTGGCCCCAATGAAATAGTGAAAGTCAAGCTCGCACTTGACAATGCTGCTGGAAGAAGTTTCTTCCACCGTTCAGGTGTTGGACGGATCAGGCACATCAGTTTGCGTGTGCTATGGATGCAACAGAAGGTGCGGGAAAAGTTTCTTTCAGTTGGGCCTGTTAGTACCAAACATAACCCAAGTGACCTGGGTACAAAAAGGTTGAACAGAGATCGCATGCTTTATTTGATGTTTCTTTGCAAGGTCTACGACCTAAGTACTTCACAGTACGTTGGCTCTGAAGTAAATGACAAGTTGGAACAAGAAAAAGTGACACGCAAAGGTATCAAACTTTTCACACTTGCGGGAATGAACAATCATGATGCAAAGGCTTTGATGAGAGTTATGTTAATCAGCGCCTTGAGCCTTACTCCTGCCACCGCTTCTCCAGCAGAACCAATGGTGGTGGATGGAAGCTATTTTGGCTTCTTCTTTGCGGTGATCGTCACCATTTTGTGCATCACACTGGGATACATAGCTTTGCTCAGGAAAGAACTTCGAGAGCTGCGCGGAGAGAAGACTCAGTTTGAGTGGAATGGCACTTTGACAAAGGTGCTGAAGCTTCTGAAAGGAGTGAAAACTGAGAGCAAGCAAAAGGAGGCCATCAAGACCAATGTTGAAGGTGCCGAAGAAGAAAAGGGAACAGACGATGAAAGCGTTGGAGAGACACCACAAGAACGCTTTGAAAGATACAGCCAGAGCAACTTGGACGAAGTGTCCGATCCAGGACTTTGGCAGCTTTGGCACCATGGAACTCCTAGCGCTACCGATGAGCCTTCTGCCCATCGACAATATGCAGATGGACACATCGAGCAGATGATGAAGGACACCAATGACATCTTGCGCAGACGTCTTCGAAGGTTGGAAGCTGAGTATGACGCAGCATCAGATGCCAACGACATCAATCTGATGCACCAGCTGAACTCCCAGATCGATGAGTGCAATGGCCTTATGTATAACATAGGTTAGTTAAGCAACTCTTGGATGAGATGTGATGCTGCAGCGTGGTGAGCAGATCTCGCAATCAACGCACGAGTTTTTAACTGAGACAAAAGCCTTTGGACAACTTGCAACTGAGCCCAATTGCCTTGAGACACTAGCCGAGTGTCTGCAGTTTGCAATTTAGATGTGACAACCAAAGGTCAAAGACCAGTGGTTGAGGTGGGGTGAATGGATTTGACCTAATCCACATCCCATATATATCAGTGTAAACAGTTGCATGCATTGGCATTTCACTTGAACTTGTGACTTCAACACGTTGTCATTTGCAGTTGCCATGACATGCATGTACAGGTGAATCTTACATATATCCACAGGCGTTTTGCTTTCAAGGAAAAGAATCAGAAGGTAAGCAACGGTTGTGGCTGGTAGATCCTACCCTTTTCTTCCCTTGAAATGGGATGGTTAGTCTCAGGAAGTGGAGTAGCGGTTCCTTATAATGAAGGTAAGCAACGGTTGTGGCTGGTAGATCTTACCCTTTTCTTCCCTAGCCCCACCACACCCCCCAAGGTTGAAGCGGGATGGTTAGTCTCAGGAAGTGGAGAAGCGGTTCCCTATAATGAATGTAAGCAACGGTTGTGGCTGGTAGATCCTACTCTTTTCCTCCTAGCCACACCCCACCCCCAAAGGTTGAAGTGGGTTGGTAAGTCGCAGGAAGTGGAGTAGAATGAATGTAAGCAACGGTTGTGGCTGGTAGATCCTACCCTTTTCTTCCCTAGCCCCACCCCACCCCCCAAGGTTGAAGTGGGATGGTTAGTCTCAGGAAGTGGAGTAGCGGTTCCCTATAATGAAGGTAAGCAACGGTTGTGGCTGGTAGATCCTACCCTTTTCTTCCCTACCCCCACCCCACCCCCGAAGATTGAAGTGGGATGGTTAGTCTCAGGCAGTGGAGTAGCGGTTTCCTATAATGAAGGTAAGCAACGGTTGTGGCTGGTAGATCTTACCCTTTTCTTCCCTAGCCCAACCCCACCCCCCAAGGTTGAAGTGGGATGGTAAGTGTCGAGAATGTGAGTAGCGGTTGTGTATCCCTCATCTAGGTTCCCCTAATGTACTGTTTGTCTGCACTAAGTGATTGGTTTTCAGTCTTCCTACTTCCGCAAGTGATTGGTTTTGAAGGGTCTTACTGCCGCAAGTGATTGAATCTTACTGCCGCAAGTGATTTTTATCTTACTGCCGCAGGTGATCGAATCTTACTGCCGCAAGTGATGGATCATTCATCCAAACCTGACTCTCTCACCTTTCCCGATAGAGCTAAATCTAGTCTATTTTATTGTATTATTCTATTGTATTCTATCCTGTCCTAACTCTATTCTATGCGATTCTAGCTTATTTTAATGTATTTATATTTTGTTTTAGCATAATTTATTTTAATTTGTTTTACTTCTTTCTTGTCTGTTCAATTTTATCCTTGGCGATTTTATTCTAGTCTATTCTATTCTAGTGTATCCTATCCTATCCTATATTCTATTCTATTTTGTTTGTTTTGTTCTATTCCCTTCTATTCCCTTCTCTTCTCTTCTCTTCTCTTCTCTTCTCTTCTCTTCTCTCCTCGTCTCCTCTCCTCTTCTTTCCTCTCCTCTCGTATCGTTTCGTTTTTGCTTGTCTCGTCTCGTCTCCTCTTTCCTCTCTCTGTTCTCCTACTCTGTACTCTTTACTTTCTATTCTACTTCTACTCTATTCCACTTGTCCCGGCTTTATTCTATTTTGTTCTGGTTTGGTGGATTTTACGCTAATTTGCCTATTCTATTCCACTTTATGCTCCGTTTCGGCCATTTCGTTCATTTCCCGTAACCGGGAATCACCTTACAACTCGGGTTCACGCGTCTGTGGTAATGCTTTTAGGAAACGATACGAAAGGCGGCGTTTCTTTACGTTTTTTTTCCATAGATAGTTTCCGAGCAAAGGTTCCCGGGCCTGAGTGTTGGAACCATACTTGCCGAACTTGACGTCATCCTAACAAACCTAATCAGACAGTGTGCCTGCGGATTCGCACTGTGACCATACCACCCGCGCTCTTGGTATCAGCTTGTGACGTTTTCTTAGCCAACACTGCGTTCAAACAAACAATCGCAGCACCGCAAATTTTTGCTTGCAACCACCACAAAAACAGAAAAACGATGGTTTTCCAAACCGGTGCTGTCAGCCTATCATTTTCGGTCACCGATTTGCACCCGGGTTTTCAATTTTCTTTTTTTTTTTAAAAAATTAGCAACTACACGGATGGAATGCTTCTGGAAACCCACAGTGTACCTAACAAAAACAGTTCTCAGAACAGTTGCTATTGTGACTCTTGTCGTCGCAGGACAATGAGCAACAGCAGC